AGGCACAGGAGTATTTTACAAATGACAAACTAAATCACTTCTTCCATTCCCTCAACATGGTGCATAGTCCTCTTCTTTTTGTGGTACAGAAAGCATAAATCTTGCTAAATAAACTAAAACAAATCTTAGAAGGTATTAGTTGATCTAATTAAGTTAGATATCCAGTGGAGTATCTAACATGCTTATGTTTGGTTGGTTTTTAAAAAGAGATGGTGTCTTAGCTCTAACAGCAAATGTCTGTCTCTGCAGTCAAGAAATCAGAGTTTTAACTCCTATTGCTCAATTCTTTTTTTTGCAACATGATCTGTTCTAATTCTAATTTTGAACCGCTAAAACCTTGACACCTTCCACTTACAGTCTGGATGCCAGCAGTAAAATGGGAATCCCGGGAATAGCAGTGGAGACCCAGAATTCACTGCTGATTCTGAAAACTGAGAAGGTTTATTCCCAGCAGCACTTCAGCCCGTAGGGCTTTCACTGTCGGGAAAGTTGGCCCAATGCTTAGTTTGATTTAACCCCGGGGAATTTTATACTTATCTTCCTGGGGAATTTATACTTAATTCTTTTGTCTATGGCTTTTGAGGACACAGTTCCCTGGCCACCAACACTGGCTCAGCACATTAAGCAGAAAATTCAACATGGACAAACAGCTGATCACAGTACAGAGTCTGTACTGATTTTTAAGTACATACACCAGTTTTACGCTGCCTGACAACTCCGTTTAACCTGATAGTTAACCAAGCAAGATTTCTGTGAGCAGATCTGAACCAGTGTACTGGAATTTATGCCATAATGCCACTTTATGTCATGAGGCCCAGATTTCCACCATCACCAAATCATGGCTTCAGTTAAAGGCCAATCACAGTAACGGGTCATTTTCCCACGTACAGGCAAAACTTACAGCTTTTGTTTTCCAGAACCAAGACAGGCTGTGATCTAGCTCTGAATTAGGGCAGTTAGTATCTGCATGAATCTATAGCTGCGCGCATCCTTGTGACAACAGAAAGTTAGCAGTCCCTCTTACTCTGTGAATGGCTTTTAGCAATAAACCCAGTAGGAAGAAAGAAGACTTCAATTAGCTGCTTTAAGGCACAATTGTCTCGTTCACCAAAGGTCAATTCACACCTGCTAACTACTCTCCTCGGAGGCGAGTGACACTCAACGCCAGGAGGGGAGAACCGGCCTAGGTGTGACATACTTTCGCACAAAGCCATTGAAACGCCCCCTCTGGCTGCGGCAATGTTCCCGAACCAGCCCCGAGCGCTCCGCCTCAGTTGCGGGTGAGTCGCACCATCCTTTGGGAAGCAGTGGGGGATGAACCAGGGGGGAAACTGCCTCTGAGCGTGAACGCATGTGCCCACGGGTGTACATAAGAAAGAACCCGCCTGTATATATTGGCATGTGTGACCTTAAAGGGAGTGGGGACAAGCTGGAGGGCTCGGTGTCTGTGGGAAAGCCCTGGAACTTGTGATAGGCACCCAGCTTCACCCCTCTCTTTTCAGGAGACAAGCTCCAGGGCTATGAATCCAATACTGTCCTCCATGGGTCTTTCAAGGAAAGCACATAAACGCCCCATTTCCCACACGGAGAACGGGAACCGCAATAATGAGCCCGGGCAGTCTGGAAGCAACGCGGCGTATTTCTAACTGGACGCCTCATGCTGAGCATCGTTTGTACAGGGCCGACAGAATAGAGCAGAGACTTTTCAGCTGCTTACAGCACTGCCGTGCTCCGGCTGCCTCAAGGCAGGCACATTTAAGTTATCTCCCCCCTCACAAAGAAAACCATCCCCGACCAATTTCCCCAAGCCCATCCCTTCTGCCCTTACCCGCCCCAGGACATCCTCAGCATATCCCTCCCCTGCTTCAGTCCTAAGAAGCACCTTCCCGTCATCTATACCTCATAGATGACAGGAGCACCACAGAAATCCCTTAAAACAAACAGGAGACCATGGAAGTCTGATCTCTTGTGGATTTGTGCTCTTTATCATAAGCTCTCCCCCACAGCATACTCAGATCCCACTACCCCCCCCATAGTCCATAAATTATTCTGATAAGGTTTTGTCACCCCCCCCCCCGCAGTGCTGTCGGGGCCAGGTTTAGTGCTCTCCCCACCTTTTGTGATAATGAGTGTCACTGGACATACCTCACATACCTGGACCTCTTCTCGTTTCAAATCCAGGCCAAACTCTTTATCATGGTGTTGAGCATAACCTTACAGCTTTAACACGGGTCTGGATTCTCTTCCTAAGCATTGTCTGAGTCTTTCGGCTGCAGAAATGCCACTTTCCATATGCCTGTGCATACGAAACGCAAGGTGTGTTATTCACCAGAGGAAAATCACCCTGATCCCATGCTATGGAGAGGATGCAGAGAGGCGTGCGCTGTCAGAGGTCCAAGCCAGCAGACCTAGTGCTGCAGAGCTGAGGGCTGTACAGGTGCACCACCGCACGGGGCTAACAGGGCACTCTGCTTCTAGCCACCAGCTGAGCCTGCTGTGGCTGTGCCCTCAGCGAGGCTTGGAGCCGGAGGCAGGGGAGGGATGCTGCAAGGTGCTCAGTCCTTTAACGCAGAACTCTTCCTCTGTGTACCTCCCAACTTCTGTCTCTGGGGTATTGATGCTCTTGGGGGCATCCAGCATATAAAATGTGCAGTCATTCCTTTTTGTTTCTGCTCTTTACAAAGAGAGCTCTTCAGGGCCAGTTGTGCTCCTCGTAGGTTTTGGTACAGTGCTTATCACAACAGGGTTTACTACCAGCCTTGCTTCTCTTCCTGCTGTTGTGATGCAACATGGTATAACAATCTGTGTCACCCATCCTTTTCCAGACTGTCCATGCTGAAGACTACCCCTATTCCCTCCAAAACCTTAACTGTTGCTTTTTGACATGCCACGTAAACATATGATGTTCTGATTAAACCAAGACTCTAAAGTGTAGCATTTCTTATTTTGGAATTCTTACTTATTTGAGTTAATGAAAAACAAGAAAACGTACCTTTATTCTAAAAAAAAAAAAAAAAAAAAAAAAGGAACATATTTGTGCTTAATTGTTATTCTAATTACAAGTTCTGGTGTAGTGTAAATTTTTTCCCTTGGCATTATTATGAACCTCACTTCCTTACAAAGTCCAGGATAAACAATTCCAATATATTTTGTTTTAATTATCAGGGTTTAATGGGGCATAATGAGACTATGTTGAGTGGCGCAGAAAAAAATAATTTAACGTGTGCAAAACTACTGAGTGCTCCTAGCTTGATTGTGCATATTTCACCTATTGTGGGGCAGCACTATGTTAGCTAATATTCATGTGCCCATCATTTATTTATTAATCATATTTCCTTTTCAGCAGAAAATTTTCCTTTTTTTTTTTTTCCTGGCATCTGAAACAAGAAGAAACCCATTAAGATATTCTGGAAAAAATGGGTAATTCTAAGTTGAGCAGTGAAGGATGCAGCTAATTCTCATTGAAGATGTCTCTGCTCATTGCAGGGGGGTTGGACTAGATGACCTTTAAAGGTCCCTTCCAACCCAAATTATTCTGTGATTCTATGATACACAGCTGATGGTGCTAGAAGCATTTCTCATGTCACGAACAGAAGACTGGAGCGTGTTGGAGGCAGAACCTGCCTCAGCCAGTCTGGTCCAAATGCAGTCCTTCTCCCAGCATCACTTGGCAGTGCAAACTTCTGGCTGCAGTTCTTAGGGCCCCTACCACAAGAAGTACAGATAACATCAGCTGAAGTCACTATTCAGAAATTCCCTTGTCTGGACTCTCATTTTAGATACGTTTCCACTCCCAAGGTGTGGTTCCTACAGACTTAAACCACCACTGATACGTCTGCAGTGAAAAGGCAAAAGGGCAAACCAGCAGCCTGGGAAATAAACCAGTAAAGAGAGATTACAACCTTTTATGCTTTCCAAGGTCCCTTTGCCAACAGCACTGAATCCAACAGCTGGATGCGGCTGACGCAGCAGCTAGTACCACCCTGCTACCGGATTTATATTCCACTTAACCAGGGTGAGCATATACCAAGATCAAAACACCCTTCCCCCCCACCCCCATACAGAAGTTTTAGATAGGCAGAGGAAGATTGGAAGATTTTGGCAATTTGTCTGGGAATTCTGAACACGAGGCAGTGTGGTCAGCGTGATGATGACGGGTTGTTCTGCAAAAAGAACAAACACTTTTGTTCTCCCATGCTGGGCACCTACAGCAGGTTTGAAACTTTCAGTCGTACTGGAGTCCCTCCCTGGGCCTGTGTCGTACAGCTCACACACGTATAGTTCAACACATGATCTGCTGGCTGGAAACACAGGAGCCCTATCACTGCCTGTTTCCCTGGCTAGGGGGAATCAAGCCTTTTGTCCCTAACAGAAATCAGCTTCCTGAATGCTCCACTGCCTGTTCCAGCCTGGACTGAGCACCAACTCCTTTGCAACTGGTGCTCCCGGCAGCAAGACCTGTGCTTCGAGCTGTTCCAACATCAGCGTGGCATCTCCACCGACACTTACTGCAGCCCCTGCAGCCTTCCAGAGCAACAACTAGTCAGGAGAACACCCTTCTCTCTACACTGCCCCATGCACACCATCCGTTCTAAATCCTTGTCTCACTCACTCTCCTCCGCTCCACCCCTCCCAGGCTGTAGTTCCAATAAGCACAAGCCTGGCCTACACATATGGGGCACAGCCTTCTCATCCGTACATTGTACCTGCAAATAACAGTGTTTCTTTTGTCCTGGCTTTCCAACTTAGTGAAATTTTTAAGAAGGCATCCCAAAATACTACAACATACATGAAATTAAGGCTTTACACACCAAGAAAATGGAAACATCTCAGGTATGTTAAGTTCAGGACCTCCACGAGGTAGGCTTTGTTACAAGCACCACACGTGACCAACCTGAAGGACTTTCATCTCTATGCCTAACTCCGGTGAGAGTTACAAGATGCTTCAATGCAAATTCTGCTTCAGGAATAATTACTGGATCCTCCCTGAAGGGAAACATCTATTCATCTGTTATACTTCTTGACACGGAATCAGAGGACTTGACACAGTGCCCACTGAAGCCATTGGGAATGTCCTCTCTTCCTCTCTTCTGGAAAAGTATTTGGTTCACAACTCTAGGAAGAAGGTTCAAATACAAAACAAAAAACCACACCAATGTTACATTACAGTTATTTGAAAATTAAATTTTTATATTACAGATTAAGTTAATATACTCCAAGTGTTTGTGTCTTAAATAAAATAAATTTATTACAGACATCAGTATTTACAGAAAGAAAAACATTTACATAAATAATTTTTTTTTTAAACTCATTGGAGTAAAAAAATTCTCCATGAAGTTTCTACCCATGGGAGATGTCACGTTGTGTGAGAAGCCAGCCTCCTTCAAGGATTAACGGAGTCAAGAAACCTAACCAGGCTTAAGTTACAACTCAATGAGTTGACCGAGGAACAGCAATGGGCTGGTTACCTGCATTAAAGAGGGTTGGGGGCCCCTTCCAAGTCTACGTCCTGTTTTTCAAAGAAGAATGGAAGGGAATCAGTGAGTATGTTCCATCAAAACTCGCCTCAGATACAGGACCAGGCCAGCATCCAGCACGTTCTCACAGACCTCCAAAGTGTAGCGGTCTTCTTCCCGCTAAACTCTGGGGATTCTGACCCAAGCTTAGGATCCCGTTGTACAGCCGCTGTACAAATATACAAAGGCAATCTCTGCTGCCACACAGCTGAACAGCCACAGCAGACCACGGTGGAAGAGAATGATTTTACAAAGAGAAGGACTGGCTGACCCTTCATTATACAGAGGTGCAGCCCTGAGTCCGAAGTCAAGTTTTCTGATTCCCAGACAAATACTGACCTATGTGTTCCCTCAGCTTGGCTAGCAAGTCCCAGGGGGGCCGACAAAGAGGTTCTGTATTTGGTCGAGCTGTATAAAGAACAGGGGGAAGTGCATTTCCAGGCAATGCATGATCTGCAGATGCTAGAGGCCTCTGAGATTAGTTCTGGGCAAACACTTATCCTGAAAGCTCTATGTAGGAGTGTACAGCCCCACTGGATTATGCAGTCAAAACTGACTAAGGTTGTGTTACCAAGAGACCTGCGCCCCATCCTGGATTGAGGCAGAATACCACACCTCTTAAATCCTAAATAGGAAATTCTGCGCATCAATATACACAACAAGACCTTAATTTGGACACTCAATGAGTTTCAACTCCTTCACATAGCAAGTTCCTGTTTTCAATGGTTTCCTCTGGTGTACAGGCACTCAAACAGCTCTCCATGCAGGTCAGCATACCCTCCAGAAGCCCGTGGCTCTTCAAAAGCCAGCCTGTTTAACCCTTCCAGACAGCCATGGTGAGAGGAGAAGGATTTGAAGCACAGCTGAGTTTCTGGCTCTCCTGTCCTGTAATCTAAAATGCCCTTTGCTTTGGTAATGGCAAATGGGGAACTGAATCGGGTGGCAAATGGGGAACTGAATCCAGGTGCACAACAAATGCAGTCAAAAAAAGGTCCTCCTAATGACAGCCACACCTTGTTGCCACCATGTCTTTATAATTTTTAAGGACCACATTCTCTTTGTCATCAAAGTAGAGAAGATTGAGGGACTTCAATTCATCTGGCACACAGCAGGGCGTGCTGACATCTTGAGACAGTTTAAGTGTATGGACTATGGACTGAACTGTAGCATGGTTTGTTGCATTTAGACTTTCCCCCAAGGGGAAGAGACAGGATCCTCTGCAATAAAATGCGTTGTATCCACTTGGGTAAATAATCCATCCTGACCAGCCAATAGCACGGAAGTCAACGTAGAGTTCCCTTCGATGACATGCTGCTACCTGGCTGTTGGCAGAAGGGACTGCAGCAGCTCGAGGTCTCCTGCTCATGCCTGCATTGCTGCTTTCGATGATCTGAGTTTCACGAGGCACACGTGAAGCATCATTTTTGGCAGGGTTCATCTCTGGTTCTGAAAGGAAGTTGCGTGTTAATCTTTCCCAAAAGAAATTAATATCCTAAGTATGGTATTCTGCATGAAAGTCTGTTCCATACATCTGCATCTAAGTCTTCCGAGTAGATTTAAAAATCACATTTAACTGTGAAAGTACCAAAAGGGGTATGTATTCAACTGCTATTTCAGCCATATTTCAAAAACTGCCAAATCTTGTGTTTCACTTGGTGGCCTGAAAGGCCCAAACTCAGCAGAAATACAAAGGAAAAGCTCCATGATATACTAAATACATTCTGTGAACTCCACAGGCCCTTTTCAGCACTGGATCTGATCACGATGCTATTAACGATCTTTATACAGCCACTCCTACAACAGAGATCAAGCTGTGCAGTGCAATAGAGGGCGGAGACCACAGCCTTTTTCTCTCCCCACAGTTCTCCTCCCAGGAACTCTACCCATACGCTTGCAAAACAGTGTGTTCCTATAGAGTAATATTTTAAAAAATATTTATCAATTTTTGGATCTGAAGAAATTACCACCAGGTTGATGGAACTCTGCTAGAGAACAAAGCTTACTGACAATAGGTTTGCTTTCTTAAAGTATCTTCTGAGAAGCCTTGATAAATACCTATGGAGACCTCGAGATCCACGGAAAGAGGCTGAAAACCAGCGATATACAGGCTGGTAGAAGAACAATCGGCATAGATTCACTGACCAACAACAGGCAGGTCTAGGGAGTTTCTTCATTGAGAAAAGGGTATCGACTTCTAAATCCTGGCACATGGCTTGATGCTCATTAAATTGGGATCTAGGATTTAACTATAAAGTTTTTCTTTGGAAAACAAAAATAAACAGTCCAGCCTTATTTTGTTTCTGATCAATTTCACCACCAACTTCCTAATATTGATGCAAGTCCTACCTAGTTTCTTTCTAATATGCAATGCAATCATTTACCAGAAAACTCTGCAAACACAAACATTTTTGCACCTCCTCACAGCTTTTGCTCTTCACATTTATCACACTCTCAAATCCAGCCTTAGTTGGTTTTACTGGAGGACCAGTGGGAGAGGTAAGACGCTGTGTTTTGTAATTTAAGGGACGAGGGCGTTGTCTTTGATGAAAGCAGCCTTTATTCACAATGCTAATTAGTCACTGAAGTTAAATAGGTGCTTAAAAACCAAGCCAAGGACAGAGAGGTTTAAATTGCTTATTTAACAACCTCTTCCGCTCTTGAAAACTGTGCTTAATAACTCTGCTTGCAGTTGCTTTACCAGCATTTTCACAGCTTTTTCCAGGCCACTGAGTTTTTTTAGCCTAAACCTAATCTATCATTTTCACGCAAACTTCACCACCACAAAAATAATATAAATAGTAATTTAAAAAAATAGAACTCCCACCCCTTTACAAACAAAATAAACCAGGTTCCCTCCAGGCTTTACGAATATAGTTTTTCTGAGGGGAGAGACAACTTAAGATGCTGGGTGACCTACTAGCAAGAACTATCAAATCAAACTCTGATCAGTGACAAAGCTGAGCTTCAAACCTGTTCAACACTGCAAGTAAATACCGAGATTAGGTATATGTGAGGCAGCAGAAGGTAACAAAAGGTGAACAGGGATTTCATATTCTAAAACAGAGCTGCTCTTCTCATGCGAACTTACTTGTGGAAGAGGGTACAAAGCTGGAAGACCTCCGTTTGTTACTGTTGGTGAAGAGGACAAGGAGAGCGTTTCTACTCTCCTGCAAAGCACCCTGGCTCTTTGCAAACTTAACCAGGTTGTGCTCAATTCTATTGTTGAAGACATGTGTTGTAGTTATCAAAAAGCCATGGTTGGAGCTGCGGTTTCCAACCCACTTGGAAACCTGGTAATGAAAGCGAAATGAAAAAATATTGTTTCAATATTCTTATTACAGCATTACTATTAAGCAATGTTTTCATTAGGAAAAGGGAACAGGCAACAAGCTATGAGAGCGTAAGAACATACATTACGACATAATTGAGGTAACTGTATAGCTGAGACTCAATTCAGTTTAATATTTAAACCAGTAATTCAACATTTAAAAATACAAAATACCATATGCATTCCCCAAAGCTACATTTACAGGAAGATAATTAATTTCAGAGAATCTACTAGTGAATAGATGAGTCTAGGAGTTAAAATTAACAATAAAACAAATCTTCTCTGATTTTAGCCAGGAATTTATTTTTCTTAGCAATGTTAATAACAGAATAGTATGAACTCCCCAGACTTTCCGTAACATTAAAACTCATTCAAATCTAACAAACAGGGCATTTGAAGAAATTAACTCACAATCAGGCAAATTTACTTTATCTAATTGTTATAATTACAGACTAATAGATAAGGCCAGGCCATTCTCAAGCAGAGCTATCATGACGTCAGATGGAACTCAACCAGTCATCCAAGCGTGCTGCTCACACTGATCATAAAGCTTCGGCAACGAAAAACACTGACCACAGACTGAAACCCAAGAAACTGTATGTTTTAAACCACATTCCATGTTTTGCTATGGAAGGGCATTCACATACTGTTATAGTTTAAGGATATCTACAAAACAAATCTTGAAACTAACAAATAAAGAAGTCTACAAGAGGAAGTTAAATGGAGATTTAGAATTAAAACGAAGTCAGAATTCTCTGCTTACTGTCTGCGTGACGTTGAATACTTCCCAGCCTTCTGTGTACAGGGACAATAATCTTGACGCAATGAGATGTTTTTTTTGTGGCTTACTTCCACTATCCAAGAGCTCATACACTTCCACCTTGATGAGAGCGATATAGCAAAGCAATAAGAAGTGAAAACAATTGTTTCTCTAGCAAAATAAGGAGAATGAAAACTACGAACATTTCTGCCACATCATAGCTGGAAAACTGTACTATCATTCCAAACCAAGCAAAAAGTTGGTTTTGGACAGTTTAACAGAAAAACAAGCACCAGCACATACATCGACTTCTAGGTGTGTTCGGAGGCAGGATACTGGACTGTGTGATACTATTACTAGACTGTTTGATACTATAGAAAAATATCCTGACCATCCCTTTTCCTTCTCTTTGAACATCTAATACGGTCAAAGTCTTCTGCCCCTTCACATCTTTGCCTTCAGGTCTGCAAAAAGTCTGAATCTGCCTTTTGCCAAATGAACAGGTACAACGAGCATCAGAGTCCTCACCTGTCCTAGTTTCCTATGGATCCCAGATGACTATTTTTTTTTTTTTTTTCCACAGTGGCTCAAGCAGACAAATTTCGATTTGAATTTCAAAACACTTCAAGCCCCAGGAGAGTACGGTATGGTTTGAGATAGGTCTGACACAGGTATCTTTAGGGACAGCTCACTGCCATGGCGTGCAAAGGACAGCATACTGCCAAAGCCAAAGCCTTGTGACTACTCCTTTGCATGCTGGAGGCAAAGAAAAAGTGCAGATGACCGTCAAATAAGAATAAAAATAAAGCAGGTTTATGTGGTAAAGTGGTTTCACTCCTCATTTTCAGTATTGCTACCAATGGAAGCATGAGGAAGTGTTTAAGTGACAGGTTATTTCCCCACTTACTTTGCAGAAGTGTTTCACGTCGGGCCTTCTGGACACATGCGTCCTCTTCAGCTTGAAGACCCTGAACTCGGCTTTCAGCATCTGCTCGCCCTTCTCCATCGCGCTGATGTCGAAGTAGAAGTGGTACTGGTCCACGGCCACTGCAAGGCACCCTTCCTTAGGAGCAAGGCAAGACCCCGCACAACAACCTCTGCCACCCCACGCACCCCCCTCCCCGTTTTCCGCAGCAGCTGCCGGCTCTGCTCCAACCTGCGGGGGCTGAAGGGGCCCCGCACCGGGCAGGGACGTCGCTGCCCCCGCTCGGCAATCGCCCCCGCTGCCGGGGATTCACCTCTCGGCCGGGCCCCCGCCGCCCCCCGGCCCCCGGGCCCACCTCGGTCCCCGCAGCTGCGC